GGAGGAACTTCGCCATTTCAAAGCTCAAGAAAAGCTGCGTGCCTCGTGCCATGTGCGCACAGTTGGAGGAGTTTGATTGTTTTTTTTGTTTATGTCATCATTCTTCTTTTCTCTTTTTGTTTTCTTCTTGTCGCGAAAAAAGTCTGTGCCACCACTACTGCTGCTGCTGCTAATGCTCAAACAGAAGCCACGCGCGCACCTTCTTCAGACGATGTGCCAGCCACGCCGCAGTGCGCCGCTTCCCTCGTGGAGGTGTTTCTATTGCTGCTAATGTACGGCGCCATCGAGAGAAACGGCGTGGTGCGAACTCGATGGCGCATGACGCAATAAAAAGCATTGTATGTTTTGGTTCAATTGAACAGCGGTGTTAGTGGTAGGAGCACTAGTAGTAGCAATGGTAGTAGTAGCCGGGCGTTGAGTGCAGGAGGCGAAAACGCAGGAGGAAAAGGATGAGATAAGGAGTGCGTAGGGCATCAGAGTATTGAGCGAGAGGATAAACATTTTTTTTTAAAAAAGGTAACTGCAAGCCAAGGCACCTGCATGACCACATCGTCATCATATGCCGGCAGCAGCTCGGTCTTACCCCGCCCCACTCGCAGGCTTGGCAACACAAAATGCAAAAGGAAAGCCGTAGTCGCATGAGACCGAGGCAATATTACCTGCACGACCCAAACGATGTTCTCCAAACACGGAACCCGCAGAAAGTTAAACCAAAGTCAAAAAAAAAAAAAGAAACGACGTTGGTACTATGGGAAGCGCCACTCAACACTTTAGTTCTGGCCCCCATGCACTTCCGTTGCGGCGTTCTGCCCCCCCACCCCCCTGCTCTCCTCCAGTTACTTTGTGCACCCTCTGGCATCATTATCGCACGACACTTTTTGGGTTGTCGTCTAGCCCACGTCGGTCAGGCGCAGCTCCGTCAGGGAAGTACGACGAGGCCTATGGGCACCTCGTTGATAAACGCCGCCGCTGCACGGGTAAAGGTGTGCTGTGCAGCCCACGGCAATTGATTCTGTCCCCACCCCTGTTTGCCCAGAGCCCACGTGGCTCCCGCTCCACTTCCTCCAAGCGCCCACCCATTGGGAACCCGGGTCGCGTTCACATGCAGCATGGTATCCAGAGAGGGATGATTGTCTTTCCACACTTTGTCGAGAAAACTGCTTGAGCAAAATTTCATGGACCCACCCATGGGAGGATCGTCACGCATACCTCTTCCCTCTCAGCTGACCAGCTTGGGCCGCGGGCGTACATTCTTATCGGGGGCCTCTTACTTCACCACATCACAGCTCTCCACCTCGGAGCCTATTCACCCCGTGCCCCCTGTGATAAAACAGGGATAGCGAGGGAAAAGGCTCTGTAACGCTTCACCGCCCTTCTACTCATAGCGTGTACATGTGATTCCTCGGCAACTCCCCGCGGCAAGGCACCGACAACAGAGATGCCACCTCCACAGTTTATCGGTCCAACAAACAATACAAGCGTGCAGGCGCATCAGCGTGTGGTTAGTGGCCCACCGTTATTGCCCTAGACAGCTGCACGGAAACCATGCACAAATGCACATCACTGCAAGGCCAATGGTGATGTGAAAGGCACTGCAGGAGGAAAACGTGTCCCCGCCCAATATTATTTACTGCACTTCCATAACACAGAAACAACCCTGCCGACCCCTAAGCAGCTGCGGAGTGCACATGCTCGCTGAACTGCCTCCAAAGACGCACCTTCTGCTGAGCCGATGCCGGCACCCATTCCGCCCCGGAGAAGCGTTTGCGCACAAGCTGCGGTTTCCGCTTCATCACTGCAGCTTGTACCCCAGCAAGCCACCGAAGCGCCCGCTCCTCCTGCGAAGACACATCAAACATCTCCACCGGGTGAGGCATGAAACGCCACTTAAAACCCTCAAACAATTATATCTCAAAAGTCCCATTATCGCTTTTTTTATTTTTGTTTCCTCTGGCATGCACGTAAATTAAATCACCAGAACGTAAATGAACGGTCAGTGAAAAAAAAAAGACAGTTTTGCTGCGCACAGAGCAGGGCGTAGCTGGAACTTGACCACGTCCCTGCAAAAGGGGAAACTCAAACACAAGCGGCGAGGCACGCGCCTTGTTAATATTCACCGTTCATCCTGCACGTAATCCACCAATACATCCCCGCACCGCAAAGCA